TGCCTCAGCCTCCTGAGTAGCTGGGACTACAGGCATGCACCACTACACCCAGCTAATTTTGGATTTTTAAAATAGAGACAGGGTTTTTCCACATTGGTCAGGCTGATCTCGAACTCCCGACCTCAGGTAATCCACCCACCTTGGCCTCCCAAAGTGCTGGGATTACAGGTGTGAGCCACCTCGCCCAGTCTGCTTGTTTTCTTTAATCATCTTTCTAGACCAGGGGTTGTTAGTGACAAGCAGAACCTGTCTGCAGTGGCAGACACTCTTGAAAACACATGAGAGTCTGGGGATTCAGTTCAGGACCCAGTAAGCAATTATGATGCTATTCCCTGCCTTTTCCCCTCACTAAAGAATGTGTGTTAGACTACAGCCCCTGACAGTGCTGATGATGTAAGAATGAACTTGAATTTGCTCAAGTATATTAAGACTAACTCACTGCAACATGGGAACTGTATTTTTTAGTATGAACATGGCTCATGATAGTTAGTGTAATAGTTTAATAATTTGTCACATAGTTTTGATTGAGAGCTGCTGTTGTACCATTTACCTTTTGAACATTTCTATTCAAAGTATGCCCCAGAATGACAAATTTACTCTGTAACTGAAGCCTTAATATTTTATATCGAACAGTTTTAAAGGACACCTTGGAAAAAAAAGGGGTATTAGGGCATTTAAAAGCAAGGATCCGAGCCGAAGTTTTCAGTGCCCTGGATGATGACCGTGAACCCCGACCATCATTGTCTCATGAAAACCTTCTAATTAATGAATTAATTCGGGAGTATTTAGAATTCAACAAATATAAGTATACCGCATCTGTCCTCATAGCAGGTAAGTGGTTATTGTTTATTACATAAAATCTATTTCTTCCTTTCCCCCAATTCTCAGAAAGTGTTTGGCCTAGAAATTGAATTCTCTTACCAAACGGTGTCATCTGGGTGACAGGGACACAAAAATCACTTGGGTTCTTTCAGTAGCTTAAACAAATTCTCATAAGGCATATTATATTGTAGGGAGAATACACAACTAAATAATCACCTAAACTAGGCATATATTTGGAAAAATCATTTATTATTCCTGGTACTGAGAATAAGCAATTGTTGACATTCTGTCCTATTTGCCACCAGTTTTTTAATATGTATTAAGTTTTGAAAATATACACAGATTAAATATATTATTTATTTAAAAATAGGCTGTGTGGGTAGCTCACACCTGTAATCTCAGTGCTTTTGGAGGCCAAGGTAGGAAGATTACTTGAGCCCAGGAGTTTGAGACCAGCCTGGGCAACATAGGGAGAACCCCATCTCTACAAAAGAATTTTTAAAATTAGCCATTCACGGTGGCACGCATCTGTACTCCTAGCTGCAGCTGGGCGGGGGCGGGGGAGGGGGATCACTTGAGCCCATGTGGTCAAGGCTACAGTGAGCCATGATCGCAACACTGCACTCCAGTCTGGGCAACAGAGTGGGAATCTGTTTCTCTCTCTCTGTTTTTTTTTCCCTCCAGAGACAGGGTCTCGCTGTGTTGCACAGGCTAGACTGCAGTGGTGCAATCATGGCTTATTGCAACTTTAACCATGGGCTCAAGCAGTCTTCTTGCCTCAGCCTCCCAAGTAGGTGGGACCATAGGTACATGCCTTCATGCCCAGCTAATTTTTTTTATTATTTGTGGAAATGAGTTCTCCCTATGTTGCCCAAACTGATATTGAACTCCTGGGCACCTAATCCCTGCCTCTTTAAAAAAAAAAACAACAACAAAAAACACACACTCTCTCTCTCTCTCTCTCTCTCTCTCTCTCTCTCTCTATCTATATATATATATATGTAGATATGTGGATATCTATATATATGTGTATGTGTATATATATATATCTATATATATAATGGAGATAAAACTTTAAAATATTACTACTATGTAGTGGTTAGGTGTAGTTACAAATGTATGTATGTAAAAGCATGGTATTTATAAAGGACTAGGCAGGTATATTAGGTTGTTCTTGAATTGCGATAAAGAAATACCTGATTACGTGGCAGCTGGCGAAGAAAAATTAAGAGAAAAGTAAAAAAAAAAACAAAATACCTGAGACTGGGTAATTTGTGAAGAAGAGAGATTTACGTAGCTTACGGTTCTACAGACTGTACAGGCATGGCATTGGCATCTGCATGCCTTCTGGGAGGCCTTGGGGAGCTTTTACTCACCACGTTGCATTGCGAAAGCAGGGCCAAGGGTGGGGAAGGTTAGTCCCACACACTTTAAATGATCAGATCTCAGGAGAATCCACTCACCGTGTTAAGGACAGCACCAAGCCATGAGGGATCCACCCCCATGACCCAAACAACTCCCACCAGGTCCCACCTCCAACACTGGGGAGTATATTTCAGCATGAGATTTGGGCAGGGATAAATATCCAAACTCAATCAGCAGGGAAACTCCAAATTCATCCTAGTAATAGGAGGCCTAGTGATAGCAGACATAGAATGATTTTGGGGATAATATAAATTTCCTCTATCTGTTAAATTTTATTTCTTAAGAAGTAAATTTTCTCTTGAAGTGTAACAGTTATTGAGTGGTGAGAATATTTTTAATATCTACTGACTTTTTAAATACCGTCTCTCAAGAAAGTGAGGAGAGACTGGATATAAATAAGTCAGAATCCTGGTTACCCTCAAGTTAGAGTGGTGGGGATGCAGTTGGGGGGCGGTCCAAGGCACCCTGAATGTGCATCATTGGATTACCTTGTTTCAGGTTCTGTCTCTGCTTTGACTACTGAGTGCCTCAGAGATGAGCCTCAGTAAAGAAACGAGACCAGAAAGTAGATTTTGGAAGAGAGAATGAATTCTTTGTGAAGTTAGAATTTTTCATTACAGATCCTTTATTTAATATTAAACATACATCTTAACTACATAAAAACTGGTGATTTTTATTGGTTTCAGCACCTTTGATATCAGCATCTCTACTTTCCCTAGTTTGTTGTAGATGGCTGTATCATACCAGTTACACCCAGAAAAGAAGAAAATTATGAAAATATCATGGGTTAGCTGTCTTGGGATTCACTAGAATGAAATATAGTGACAATAGTCAGGTTTTCATATTAAATGTTTTGGCTTTTTAAGAAAACTGGGATATAATTTAAATACAATTAAATTTACCTTTTAAACTGTCCATTTCTATGGTTTTAGTCAGATTCCTGCAGTTGCATAATTACCACCACAATCACAAACAAGATATCACCAGCCTTTTTGGCACCAGGGACCGGTTTTGAGGAAGACAGTTTTTCCATGGACCTGGGAGGATGGTTTGGGATGATTTAAGGACACTTCATTTATTGTGCATTTTATTTCTGTTATCACATTGTAATATATAATGAAATAATGATACAACTCACCATAATGTAGAATCAGTGGGAACCGTGAGCTTGTTTCTGCAACTAGACAGTCCCACCTGGGGGTGATGGTCAACAGTGAGAGATCATCAGGCATTAGATTCTCATAAGGAGTCTGCAACCCAGATCCCTCTCCTGCGCAGTTCACAGTAGGGTTCCCGGTCCTATGAGAATCTAGTGCTGCCAACAGGAGGGTGGAGCTCAGGCAGTGATGCAAGTGATGGGCAGCAGTTGTAAATACGGATGAAGCTTCTCTCACTTGCTTGCCCACTGCTCACCTCCTTCTGTGCTGCCCAATTTCTAATCTGTGGCTTTGCAGTTGGGGACCGTTGCTATAGATGGAACCATACAGGATGTAGCCTTTTGAGTCTGCCTCTTTTCACTTAGCATAATACATAAGAGATTCAGCCATGTTTGTTTTTCCTTTGAATAGTGTTCCATTGCGTGGCTGTGCTAGTTTGCTCATCTATTACCAGTTGATGGACACTGGATTGTTTCTAGTTTTGGCAGTTAGAAACGAAGCTGCCATAAACATTTACATACAGGTTTCTGTGAGAACATAAGTTTTCATTAATCTGGGGTAAAAAGCTAAGAGGAGGATTGCTGGGTTGTGTGGTTAAGCGCACGCATGCTCACCTTTATAAGAAAACTGCTCAACTGTTTTCCAAAGTGGCTGTATCATTGTGCTTTCCCACCAGCAAAGTGTGAAAGTTCCAGTTGCCCCACACTTAAGGTTAATTTAATTTTCCTTTATAATTATTATCACTAAATGGATATTCTTTTTTTCCTTTTTTTTTTTTTTTTGCCTAAACTCCTTTTTATTTCACACAGGTATGCAAGTTGTGAGGCCAAGGACATGACTGTAAACAAGGTTTAATTTAAATGAATAGCCGGACGTGGTGGCTCACGCCTGTAATCCCAGCACTTTGGGAGGCCTAAGGGGTGAATTATCTGAGGTCAGGAGTTCCAGACCAGCCTGGCCAATATAGTAAAACCGCATCTCTACTAAAAATACAAAAAATTAGCTGGGTATGGTAGCATGCGTCTCTAATCCTAGCTACTTGGAAAGCCAAGGCAGGAGAATGGCTTGAACCCAGGAGGCAGAGGTTGCAGTGAGCTGAGATAGCGCCACTGCACTGCAGCCTGGGCAACAGAGCAAGACTCCATCTCCTCCCACCCCTCCCCCCCAACAAAAAAAAAAACATTACATAAATAAGCTTTCTTCCCCATGAAAATACTACTTGTCACTTCACACTTGGTCGAACACACACAAAATCCCCACCCTATCTGGCACAGATACACTTAATAAGCAATATCAAGTACAATATCTATGTTATTTTTCTCCAGAGAATAGTTGCCTTCAATCTTTTACTCAGCTCCTTACATGGGTTTTGGTGGGGGTTCTGGGGCAGCACCTACAGTTCTAAATCGGGGTGGGGGTGTTCGGTCCTTGCGGGCTTCGGGAGATCGACTCCTGACTACTTTATTGTGAATTGCACAACTCACACAGTAATGTAGCTTCACATAGAGCCTGGGAAGTACATAGGCATCAAAGACGCACGCTTCAGAAATATCCCTGACTGCTGCGGCCTCCATTATGTTTGGAATGACAAATTTCTTAATGGTCCTGTCCTTGGGCACGCATCGGGCACATTTCGTGCAGCAAATAGGCTGAACATGGCCATGGCCCTTTTTGGCACTACTGTTGTTCCTTCTTTCCTTTTCGTCTTGGAAGCTCGCAGCAGAGAAAGAAAACCACTAAATGGATATTCTTTTCAAAAATAACTTATTGGTAAGCAGTCTTCTAAAATTTAGTATTGTAGTTTGGATATAGAAACAGTATTTTTGCACCCAAACACTGTGGAATTTAAAAAGCAAATTTGTGTTAAACTGTATTAAGACATGCATTTAACAAAAGAGATATTTTGAAAGTCATAAAATCACATGCAATTGAATCTGTCTTGGTATGTGTTATCATTGTTCTTCCAAAGTCTGAAAAATGTGTATTTGGTAAATGTGAATCTTACCAAAATCCTATTTGCTTTTTAGTTTAATAGACTCAGTGTTCTCATAAATTTCTTTCTCCCAGAATCTGGTCAACCTGTAGTTCCATTGGACAGACAGTTTCTCATCCATGAACTAAATGCATTTGAAGAATCAAAGGATAATACAATGTAAGAATTTTTTTAAAGAAGTTTCTAAATATTGTATTAGTCATAATTGTGCATGGTGGTTTTGCTTCTTTTTAATTCAGCAAGTATTTATTCAGATCTAGTGTGTGTCAAGCATTGTATTAAATCCAGTGTGTGCAGCAGTGAACAAGTCAGATAAGGTCTGTGTTTGCCGAAGCTAAAATTCCTGTGGCCTCAGAGTGACTAAGCATCTCTACTTCTTACTGGGGTTAGCACCTTTTGACTTCTTGATGCTTGCTCCTTCTAAGTCTTTGTTCTTTTCTTTCTTTCTTTCTTTCTTTTAAATTATAATTTTAACTTTTTTTTTTCTTTTTCTTTTCCCAAAACTCTGAAAATATACCAAGTAAATGTTTAACTTTTATTTGTATTTTCAAATTATTTTTGTAGAGAGGAAGCCTCACTTTGTTGCCCAGGTTGGTCTTGAACTCCTGATCTCAAGTGATCTTCTTGCCTTGGCCTCCCAAAGTGCTAGGGTTGCAGGCATGAGTCCCCTGCACCTGGCCTCTGAGGCTTTGCTTTGTCAGCTGTTTTATTCATATTTAACTCTTCCTCCACTTCAACTTAGGAATGTACTCAGTTCTTTCCTTTCCTAAAAAAAAAAAAAGTCTATGAACGCCCAACCCCAAGCTTCTGGTTGAATTCCTTTTTCTGCCAAGATTACTGAATCAGCCCTCTGCTTTCGTTACAATTACTCCCTCTGTTGCCCTCCATTCACCTCCTCTCACCAACTATGGTGGGCGACAGTGAGAGATCATCAGGCATTAGATTCTCATAAGGAGCCCCCAACCCAGATCCCTTGAATGCACAGTTCACAGCAGGGTTCCCGGTCCTCTGAGAATCTAGTGCTGCCATCAAGAGGTGGAGTTCAGGCAGTGATGCAAGTGATGGGCGGCGGCTGTAAATACAGATGGAATATGCTCTTGTAAGGAGGATGACCACTTTCTAGTTTTCTTAGTTTTTTTTTCTTTTTCTATTTCAGTATTTCTTTTTTTTTTTTTTTTTTTTGAGATGGAGTTTCACTCTCGTTACCCAGGCTGGAGTGCAATGGCGTGATCTTGGCTCACCGCAACCTCCGCCTCCCGGGTTCAGGCAATTCTCCTGCCTCAGCCTCCTGAGTAGCTGGGACTACAGGCACGCGCCACCATGCCCAGCTAATGTTTTGTATTTTTAGTAGAGACGGGGTTTCACCATGTTGACCAGGATGGTCTCGATCTCTTGACCTCGTGATCCACCCGCCTTGGCCTCCCAAAGTGCTGGGATTACAGGTGTGAGCCACCGCGCCTGGCCTCACACCTGATTTCTGATTGTGCCCTGAAGACACTTGGCAGCTTTATGCTTCTTTGCCTTGGTAAACTAATCCCTTAGCCTAGAAGCCCCAGATCACTTTCTCCCTCTTAACGCCTCCTATTGGAGCATCTTTCCTTTCTGTTGGCCCTGTTCAGATATTAACTCCTTTATGGCATTTTCCTTTCTCTTCCCCTCATCTTCCTGTGTGTGTGGTTTGGTTTTTTGTTTGTTTTGAGATAAGGTCTTGCTCTATCGGCCAGGCTGGCATGCAGTGGCCCCATCTCAGCTCACTGCGACTTCTGCTTCCTGGGTTCAAGCAATTCTCCCGCCTCAGTCTCCCAAGTACCTGGGATTACAGGTGCCCACCACCACACTCTGCTAATTTTTTTTTTCATATTTTTTAGTAGAGATGGGGTTTCGCCTTGTTGGCCAGGCCGGTCTCAAACTCCTGGCCTCAAGTGATCTGACCCCCTCCTCCTACCAAAGTGCTGTGTTTTTTTGTTTTTCAAGGCAGGGTTTCACTCTGGCACCCAGGCTCTAGAGTACAGTGGCTTGATCATGGCTCACTGCAGCCTCGAACTCCTGGGTTCAAGTGATCCTCCCATCTCAGTCTCCCACGTAGCTAGAATTACAGGCACACGGCATCATGCCTGACTAATTTTTGTATTTTTTGTAGAGGTGGTGTTTTACCATGTTAGCCAGGCTGGTCTCCAGTTCCTGGGCTCAAGCCGTCCACCTGCTTCAGCCTCCCAAAGTGCTGGGATTATAGGCGTGAACCACTACAATCCCAGTTTTGGAAAGTATAAAAATTGTACAATTGAGAACAGCAAGAAAAATAATTTGTTGAATATAAGTATGACTCAGTATGAGCAGTGAGGTATTACATCGTTTAGTACAGGATATTTTACACTTAGCAGTTGATGGAAATAAGCAATGATTATACTCCTATTGGCTTCTTGGTAGCTTTTGAGAACTTACTTTAGATGAAAGTATTAAGTAAGAAGTTTGTGCTCGCTTTGGCAGCACATAGACTAAAACTGGAGCAATACAGAGAAGATTAGCATGGCCCCAGCAAAGATATGACATGCATATTTGTGAAACGTTTTATATTTTTTTTAAAAGAGAAGTAAGTTTGAGAGAGGATGAGGAAGCAAAAAAAAAAGTTGCTGAAACAGCTTTATTTTTTGAAACTTAGATAACTTCTTTAAGCCCTGGTTTTTCATGCTTCAGTGATTTGCATTCACAAAGTTTGCCATAATCACGTATTATGATTTTTTCTTTTCTTTTTTTTTTTTTTTTTTTTTTTTTTTTTTTTTTTTT